TGAGATTAACAATACAAATTTTGATTGAATTGCTCTGAGTCGTAAAGAAAATTTTTGCACATCATGGAGGAGGTCTACGGTTTTTTCGTGCTTTATTTGCAGTAAGCCGCAACTCTTTGAAAGACATTATTTCCAGTCCTGAGAATTTGAAGAAGTCCCAGAAAATTACTTCCTTGGACTATATCTTGTCTTTTTCCTTGATGAAGGAGTGACAAAGATAATGTAGTAAGTAATAACGATATAGTAATTGAGTAATGTGGATATAAGAGCTTTGATCTTTAGAACTAGACACTTTTATTTTTGTTTGAATTACAAAGTTCCTTACAACCACGTCTAGAAAAGGACCCCCCAGGTTCGATGCACCGAGTTTGTGATCGATAACCTTTCCTAAATCAAGCTTTTGATTCTGAATCCTTAGATGGACAGAGTTTGACACATTATTGCTCCTATGTGCATAGTAATTACATTAGCTAATGGAATGCTGAATGGTAAAAAGGATTCACTAAATTTGAAATGAAAATAGCCGATTGCTGTCATTTCGTCACTTCTGTTGACCTACACCCGATATTGGCGAGAACTAACCAATTCGGGCGACCGCCCGCAAATTCTGTTTTGCCGTTTTTACTGGAAAAGAAAAGTTTATGAAGATTCAATATTGTTACTTTACTTGTACTTGGCTCTTCCTGAATTCCGTTCCAATTATATTCTAGTTATCTTTCCATTTTCATTACATATGGTTCGTACAAGAAGTCGTTGCTTAATTACTTACTTCCAAGGGAAGATTTCCATCATTTTCGTAGATTAACCAAGGTGAAAGTTGGTCACCTTCTATGTTAACGCCATACTGGGGTGATTACTTCACTGTTTCTCCTACTAATTACTGCTCTTTAGTTAATTACTTGCGTCCAAAAGCTAATTTAATAAGGTCTTTGCTAGATTGAAGATCTTGTATGTTAGAAAAATGACTTACTAATTTGATTTTCATTTAAAATATGACCATGCGAGCTAGGGCTTGGCCTCTGCTTAGGATTCTTAGGACAACTCTAATTTGGTAGTGCTTCGCTTTTAGTGTTTCTTTTCTATGAATACCTACCTTTAGTCAAAAAGAAAAGCAAATGATGTTCCAAGATGAAATTGTTACCGAAATACGAGCTAGTTTTTAGAAATTAGTCTGGTTTTCTTGTAAACTGGCATGCTTTTTCTCAAGGCCGCTCTCTATTACTCCTTCCATTTTCAATGTTGTCTCATTTAAAATGCTGTGACAGTGCCAAATTTTTTGGTATCATGCCCTAAAAAGAAATTAAAGAAACACAGTTAT